TGGGCACTATATAAATGCTAGCTATTATTATTGTATTGAAAGGATTTTACATTATGTGATGAACATTTAGGGGAACCTCAGGTAATGACCAAGGTATGCAGGAAGGAAAATGATACAGTAATTGCATTATGTGAGCTTTCTGAAAATGTTGGGCATTCCCAGATCCCCAAAGAGATAACTGTTGAGGAAATGGTATCTTACATTGTCTATCATCTTCAAGGCATTTTTTTTGGGCAAATGGTATTTTCTTTTTTCCAATTCCATGTAAAGATAGTTTTCAACATTCATTTTTACAAGATTTTGAGTTCCAAATTTTTTTTTCTTTTTTTGGCTAGGCAATGGGGTTAAATGACTTGCCCAGGGTCACACAGCTAGTAAGTGTCAACTGTCTGTTCTGAGACCGGATTTGAACTCAGGTCCTCCTGACTCCATGGCTGGTGCTCTATCCACAGCACCACTCCAAATTTTTTCTTACTCTCTCCCTAAAATGGGAAGCAATCTGACATAGGTTATACGTGTATAATCATGGAAACATTTCCACATTAGTCGTGTTGTGAAAGAAGGAACAGAACAAGAGGGAAAGCTACCAAAAAAAAACCCAAACCAAAACAAAAAAAAAGGTGAAAATAATATGCTCTGATATGGATTCAGACTCCATAGTTCTTTCTCTGGATATGTATAGCATTTTCCATCATGAGTCTTTTGGAATTGTCTTAGATCATTGTATTGCTGAGAAGAGTTGAGTCAATCATAGTTGATCATCGCACACTGTGGCTGTTACTGTGTACAATGTTCTCCTGGTTCTGCTTACTTCAATCAGCATCAGTTCATGTAAGTCTTTCCAGGTTTTTCTGAAATCCACCTGCTCATCATTTCTTATAGCACAATCATATTCCATTACATTCATTTACTGCAATTTGTTCAGCCATTCCCCAATTGACGGACCTCTTCTCAATTTCCACTTCTTTGCCATCATAGAAAGAGCTGCTATAAATATTTTTGTACATATAGGTCCTTTTCCCTTTTATATGATCTCTTTGGGGTATAAACCTAGTAGTGGTATTGCTGCATCAAAGATATACACAGTTTGATTGCAGGACATAATTCTTAAAGATCCAGGTGATATTCATATTTTTTACTAGTTGCTAGAGGCTATTAGACAGTATACTTTGAGTTGAATGTGACACATGACATTTATGGGGCTTATCCAGAAGAAGGGATATTTAAAGTTATTAATGGAGTTTGGGGTTAAACTAAGGACAATCTGCACTCACACTTAGGTGAATTTTTTTCAAGGTCTAGATGGTAATTTGGCCACTATTTTTTCCTGGTGCAAACAGTACTGCTCAGGAACCTTGAGGAGCCAGTGTTTAATTGTGTTAAAGTGATATTGCATACTTAGTCCTTGCCCCTATTGAGATATGCATTCAAAAGCATGGTCAGACACATGGCACTCATAGAATGCAAGGATTCAATATCTGAATGTATAATCACCTGGGATTCCTCTTCCTCCATACTTTCTCTCCCTTAACTCAACCGTGGGCAGTGGATAGAGTGCTGGTCTGGAGTCAGAAAGACATGAGCTCAAATCTGGCCTTGGACACTTACTAGCTGTGTGACTGTGGGCAAGTCACTTAGCTCTGTTCACCTCAGTTTGCTCATCTATAAAATGAGCTGCAGAAGGAAATGGCAAACCATTCCAGTGCCTTTGCCAAGAAAACCCCAAGTGGGGTCACAAAGAGTGGACATGACCAAAATGACTGAACAACAACAAAAATTCAGGCATAAGCTCAGCCGCAGCTCTGATGCACTCCTGATCTACTCTTGACAACTAAGGCCAAACGTTTTAGAACAGTTCGAACTCAGGCTGGTTTGGAGGCTTGAGTTCAGGTTCAGAATTGGAATAAAATGAGATAGTCAGAAGCTCTATAACGTTAAATAAAAGGCAGCTCACTTCACCATACAGTGGAAAGAATGTTTAGCAAAGATGCAGACTCGCTCCAGGTGCTCCGTGCTTCCCTGCCTCCACTTTTGTCACAGTGGCTTCCCTAGTCAGAAGCAAGAATTGGACTTTTGTAGTTAGCCAACCAGAAAACCTTAAGCTTTGAGTGGTAGTCCCTGGGCCAAACATGTCTGGAGAATGGCTTCTTTGATTTTGAGGAGGAAAAACAATAAGCAAACCATCCACATCTATGTGGCAAGGGATTTTAGTAGATGCTGTTACTATCCTAGGTGGCATCTGAAAATTAGTTATCAAGCCACCCGCTGATGAACAGGGACTGGCAAAGGAGGTTAAAGTTTGCAAAATTAATGAGGGACGAGTAAAGATTTTAACTGAGAATGATTCTGTTACTTGATTATTCCTTGTTATTTCCTTCGCTGTTTTGTTTCAATTCATTACTACGTTGGTCAGTTTGTTTACTTCATATTTAGATCTGGATGGACTGAGGATGATGCGAAAGGCCAACTGAGAGGAGTGATACCCTCATCAATACCAGTGCTGCAGTAGTACTAGCCACTTCCTCAGGAGCTAGGAACCCAGTGGCAAAGGTGATGGTGGTCAGTCAGTGTACTACTTGGGACCAATATGGAAAGCTGTGGTATCTTAAACCACACCTGCCCCCTACACACACACACACACACACACACACACACACACACAACACACACACACGTACACTTATACAAAGGGATATACTTCAGAGATGTAGCAATAACAAAGTTAAAAAAAAATATTTCCCCCCACCTCCTCCCCTCCTATCTTTGTCCCTAGGGGGAGTAGGTTTAAATTGATCTCAGTTCTCTGCAGCATTGGTCTCTTACTTGGGACTGTCAGAAGGGTAGTCCAAACAAAGAGCAGGCAGTCTAACAGAAAGGTAGCCAAGATTCTGGTTGCTAGTTCTTCTTGAATGTCTCCACAGCTTATCAAAATGCTTCCTATTCACCACATTGTTAGTTGACTAAAACAAGCCGCAGAATATCTACACGTGCTCCAATGTCTCTCCGAGTCATTTCTATTACATCTTATCCTAATACTCCTAGAAGAAGGCTCTCCAGTCTCCTCCATGTTGGAAAATATAGTCAGAGGTACCAGGTGCATATACCATCCAAATGAAGTCTGGACAAACATTTCTAAGTGTCTATTTCTACGCAAGGCACAGCAAAATTTCTTTCAGGGCCCATATACTATAGGCAATCTCCTTAGATATCCAGGCAAATTTCCTCTGTGTTCTTATTCCAAAGCCAAAATAAAATGCCCCGAATGGATCCCTGACGTTGCAAGAGCAATCCTGCCAGAATTCCAAGCTCGCTCAATAACTTGACATGTTAACTTTGAGACAGTGGAAAACAAAATCAAACCATGTCAAATGAGCCCTGAAGACAGGTGAGGCTCCCAAGAAAACCATTAAATACATAGGGTTGATTGAGAGTTACCAGGCACACAAGCAAACATTACCCTATGGATTCATAGGAATAAGAATCTCATAGTAAGGCAAGCAGTCTAGGTCAGTTTAAATGTAAGGGGAAAAAAAAAGAAAGGAAGAAAGAAAGAAAGAAAGAAAAAGAGAAAAATGAACATTTTTCAATTAGTGATACAAACTCCATGCTTCTAAGTTTAGTCTTACTATCAGTATTTGCATGGGATTCAGCAATGCAGGTGGTATTAATATTTATAATTCAACAAATCAAGAAATCAAAAAATTTTTAAATGATATCTCGAATAGAATTGACTTATAAGGGAAACACATATACTATATAAATGTGCTTATCTATATTCATATATCTGTGCAACTATAACCTAAAACAAAGCGAAAGAAAAAATCCTTCTAATTGCTCTAGGGTCCCACAAACTAGGGTATCAAAAAATGAGAGTCCCAGGTAGAGAATCTTTCCAGGTGTCCCTACAGATTTGAAGGGCATGGCTTTATCCCAGACAAGGCCGTACATATAGTGATTAAACACAAGGCTTACTGTCCCAGAGCCAGGTTGCTAAAGGCAGTGACCTGGGTGGCAGTGACTATTACTCTTGTTCCATTTAACCACTTAATAAAAACTAGTTTTTATAAAGGGGTATTTACTTGGGACATATGTCAATAAACATTTATCTCCAATACCACAGAGGCATACTCTCCTCTATCCCAGTTTGGTCTCTGGGGACAGTGAGCTCAAATGCAACTCAATTCCGATACAGCATTGTTCCTACCTAAGTTTATGTCCAGGTATGGACGGCTGCTGGATGAGTGCTTGTCTCTCATTAGATTCCACCAATGAAAGAATCAAACCCAAATTGAGCAGCCAAAGGGAAAAAATAACTGTATGATATTTCTCAAGGGAGCATCTCTGTATACCAGGAGAGGAACCCTTCAAGGGGTGACCTGGGCATGCTGTAGAGGTAATTCAGGAATGGCAGGAGACTCAGACTAAGAAACCTAGACATTTAGGAAAGTAATGAAGAGCTTTCATATTTTTCCTGAAGCTGCAATAACCCAGGGTCATAGTACTCAAATATTTGCAAAAGCTAGGCAACTAATTTGGTGGCACTCAGAGTGCACATGACAGCTATGAGAGGTTCCTTGATACCCTTCAACAGGAAGAAGAAGAGGCTTTTGACATGATGTTAAAGTTGGAGGGCCTGTTTTAGAGAGCAGTAACTAAAGGGCAGTGCCTTTGGAATATGTAGGTTTCGTGAGACATCTTATATAAGCCTATTCATCCTGTACAATGCTTGCCTACCCAACATTTTAACATCACATGGTTGACAGTGGAGTATATTGACTACCAGTGATTCCTTGCTCTTGATATATGATCAGCCCATCTTTTTTAAAATTTAAATTTTTTATCTGATTTAATAAGTACAAGAAGAAAGCATTTCCATATGAAAAGTAGAATAGAAAAAGATTATATGTAAAAGCACAAATCTTTATTATATACAGCTTGGTTTAAAAAACTATATATACTAAATTCAATGTTACTTTCAAAGCTGTCCTGCTTGTCTGTATTTCCATCAGAATTGCCTTCTGTTCTTTCCCAAGCATCTTTAAAAATGTTCCAGTGATCTTTTGTTCCTTTTTTTCCCCAGCACTATCACTAGTTCTTCCTTCCTATTTCTCCCCTATGAATTAAAAAAAAAAGAAAGAAAAAGAAACACAATCCTTACAATAAAGCAAAATGTATTTCCGTGTTGGCCATCTCCAAAAATGTATGCCTCACTCTGCACCTTGAATGTCTTACCCTTCTGCAAGAAGGTGGGGAGCGTGCTTCACCATTGGTCGTCTAGAGTAATGGTTGGTCATTGCAGCAATCAGAGGTCTTAAGTCTTTCAAAGTTGTTTTTCATTACCCTGTTGTTACTGTATAAATTGTTCTCCTGGTACTGATTACTTCACTGCATTCCAGTTCATACATCTTCACTGGTTTCTCTGAAACCATACAGTTCTTCATTTCTTACAACCCAGTAACATTTCATTCCATTCATATATTACAATTTATTTAATAATTCCACAATTGGTGAACTTCCTCTTCTTCCAAAAACTACTGCTATAAATATTTTTGTGCATGTGAATCTTTACATTTTCCTTTGATCTCTTTAGGATGTAGGCCTAAACTATGTCTTACACAGACTTTTTTGGGCATAGTTCCAAAATGTTTTCCAGAATGGCTAGATCAAACCATAGAAGTGCATATATGTGCCTGTCTTACTGCAGCACCTCCAGCATTTGTGATTTTAAATTTGTTATCTTTGCTAGTCTTATCTCAGGTGAAACTTCAGAGTTGCTTTAGTTTGAATTTCTTTAATTCATGATTTGGTTGGTTTTTTTTTTTTCTTGGCTAGGCAGTGGGGTTAAGTGACTTGCCCAGGGCCACACAGCTAGTAAGTGTTATGTGTCTGAGGTGGGATTTGAACTCAGGTCCTCCTGAATCCAGAGCCAGTGCTCTATCCACTGCACCACCTGGCTGCCCCAATTATTCATGATTTGGGAATATTTTTTCACATGGTTGTTGGTTGCTTAGATTTTTTTCCTTTGAGAAATGCCTGTTCATACCGTTTGAATATTTATTTATTGGGAAATGACTCTTGTTCCTATAAACTTGAGTGAATTCTTTACATATCTTGGATGAGATCCTTATCAGATAAACCTTATGTGAAAATTTTTTCCCCGTTTAAATGTTTCCCTTCTGGCTTTAGTGGCATCAAGTTTATTTGTACAAAATATTTTCAATTTTATATAATCACAATTGCCCATTTTATCTTCTGTCTTCCTCTCTATCCTTTATCTGTCATGAACTCTTCCCCTATCTATAGTTGTGAAAGACATGTTTTTCTCTTGCTTCTCTAATTTGTTTATGACATAATCTTTTCAATCTGGTCAAATATCCATTTGGAGCTTATTATGTTACATGGTGAGAGGTGTTGGTCTAAACCTAATTTCTGCCAGACTACTTCCAATTTTCCCAGCAGTTTTTGTGAAATAGTGAATCTTTACCCTAGTAGTTGAATTTATCAAATATTATCTTACTATTTCATTTACTTTTCATTTTCATTTAGTAGTTCATTTACTTCTCTTTGTTATGTATTTTATCTGTTCCATTGATCAACTTTTCTACTTTTTAGTCAGCACCAAATAGTTTTGATCATTATTACTTTGTAGTGTAGTTTGAGATCTGGTACTGCTAAAAAGCCTTCCTTTTCACTTTTTTCTCCATTATTTCCCTTGAGAATTCTGACCTTTTCTTCCTGTAGATGAATTTTATTATTTTTTTTCTGGCTCTCTAAAGTCACACTTCAATAATTTCATTGGCACAGGTGAAGATTGGCCTATTTCTTGGCTCTAGCTGACATAAGTGACTCCATGATTGACGATGGATTGAGTTGCTTACATATTGGAAAGTTCCTATGTACCCAGCAACTGGCTTGGTCAGCTACATTTAAGGTTAGGAATGCAAAGTTAGGAAAATGTCGGCTCAGAAAACTTCATCTAATCCAAGTTAGCAAGGTTAGCAAACTTAACTCATCTCAGCGTTCTTGTGCATTAAAAGGGAAGAGTCACAATCTAGACCACTCACTGATTATCTCTGAGGTCTCCCTTCCCGCTTGATCACTGCAAATCTGCTTAGCAACAACAATCACATGCAAGGGCAGAGACTTAGGAGAACTGGGCTCTTAATTAGGGTACATATCCCACTTGTGCCTGTAGGACTGTATGGTGAAGCAACTACTTTCATGCCTGATGGTAATAAACAGCTGGACTCATGATCCTTTGAGTGCTTGTGTTCCTTCTTGGGACCTCCTCACCCATGATCACCTCCTGGCGCGACATTGAACAACTAAATTAACTTATACGTGATTGTCATTTTTATTTCTGAATAACCCAACCATGCATAAAAAACATCTCTCCTCTTACTTAGGTCTGTATTTCTAAAAAGAGTGTTTTGTATTAGTATTCATATAGTTCATATGTGTCCTTGTAGATGGATGCCTAAATATTTTATGCTTTCCATGGTTTTGAACAGAATTTCTCTTCCTTCTGGGTTTTGTTGGCAACATATACAAAAATGTTGATGATTTTGTGTGTGTTAATTTTGTATCCTGAGACTTTGCTGAAGTTATTGTTTCAGTTCATTTTTGACTTGAGCCTTCAGGCTTCTTGATGCCATCTTTTTCCCCTCTTTCCCCCCTTTTTCTCGTACAGTAGCCTTTATACTGCTTCTCTGTGGAATTCTTTATTTGTGATTTGATGAAGTTTGTTATGCCCATTAGGTGCCTCATGTTGCCCTCTGTACCGTCCTTAACTTCTTTTTTTTAGAGTCTGCAGTACCATATTACTTACCACCATATTGATATTTGGCAGTTGTATTAATATATTACAGACAACTCTGGATTGTTATATTATAGGAAGAGTAATAATGTTTAAAAGATGGGCCTTTGTTTTAGGGAGAAGATTGGGGTTATTGAGAAAAATATGCAATTTCCTGAAAGGAGTCCAGTCCACTTACCCTCTCACCATTTAGTCTAGGCTCAGCTCATTGTCCATTTTCAGTGATTATCCAAGATATATGCATTGTTGGATGAGCTCTATAGGGTTTTCTATTGAACTTCATTTCATGACCTGGACAATAATTGTTCTTCATCCACTTGGTCTATCCTATGTGGATAGTTAGACCAAACTTCACACCACTATTATGTTAATCTTCCTAAATTATTTCTCTGTTCAGAAGCCATCAGTGACTACCAATTGCCTAACTGCTTCTGCTACTTATTACCTGTGTGACCTTGGACAAGTCTGTTTTCTTTTGGAGTCTCAGTTTCCTCATCTGTCAAATGGGGATAATAACATTTGCATTGTCTACCTTGTAGGGTTGTTCTGTGGGCATTGTTTTGTAGACCCTAATACACTGTAGAAATAGTGGCTTAGTAAGTCCAGATGGATGTGTCCCTGGCATAAATGTAAATAAAATAAAGACCAGGAAAGCAAGAAATGGGACGAGTTAGAATCTCCTGCTGTTGCCACTAGATGACACTCTCTGAACTAGGAATGTAGGATAGTCAGATTGTTTTATATACAGTGGATCTATTATGATTCCAGAAGAATTATTTACTGGTAATTTTTCATGATTCATTGACCATGACGACTGTATTTGCCTAGAGAACACAAAAAGCATGAGAGGAAGCAAAGCATCCAGATTCTGGGCAGATTCATACTGCATGTAATTATAAAAAAGCAGGAGGAAATAAAAATGCTCTTCTGTGTGGGATGTTCTGTGCTGGGCATGAGTGGAGAAGGTTTGGGGTGAGGGAGGAAGGCAACATAACCGAGGTGGTTCATGCCTTCATTCAGATGCCTAGAACTCTGATCCCTGGCTTCCTCATTTTTACCTCTACAAGAGGGGTGGCATCTTGTTGCCTTGGGGATAGACTGTAGCATCTCTCACAGACCCTGACTCACACATCCAGCCTGCCTGGCCAATTGCTAGAGCCCCGCTGGTTAGGAAGAAATATTTGTGGGGTCAGCCGCTGCCTCCAGCAGAGGCTGCCAGAACTCCGCAGGGTCATTGGAAGTCTCTTCTGGCAAATGGAGCCGCTCCTCAGATAGAGCTTTTTGGCAAACCCCACTGTAATTAAAACTGGGAGGATGAGGAAAAAAAAGAGGCTCATAAAGTTGAAAGCCTGCTTTCCAACCGAGTGTGTTGATTTAAAACATGGAAGATTGCAGGGCTGCATCTTGGAGGAAGCAGAGTGTGAGATATTTAAAAAATGAAACAAAACGCAATAAAAAATGCTTTCCTCTGATATCAACCTTCAGTGCGAATAGCTTCTCCTTGAAAATGGTCCATATCCATATCCAGTGGCTGCAGCTGTTGCCTAAATACTTGGTGGTTTGGAGAGACTGTTGAATGGGCCCCATGTTTCTCTCTGGACAGCTGGTACCTGCTGGCTGGTTGATGGACTGGGAACCCTCACCGGGCGGCGGCTGCCACTGCTGCTGTTGCTTTGAGGTTTATGGTGTTAGAATCATAGGATTTAGAGTTTCAAGGCTCACCCCTTCATTTTACCAAGGAGATGCTTGGGTCCAAAGAAGTCAAAGGACTTGTCCAAGGTCATATATGGTCCAAGTTGCAGGGGGTGGGATTTGAACCCAGGTCCTCTAACTCCAAGTCTAGTACTCTTTTTGCTATACCATACAAAAAACCAAGCATGGTTAGAATAACATTCCCAACAGTGAAATATTCAGTCAAAGTAGTGTCAAAGACATCATGAAGGGTGTAAGTGAGGCAGAATGGAATAATGCAAAGAATTCTGGATTTGGAATTGGAGAACCTGAGTTTGAATGTTGGCTGTACCACCTGTCTAAACTTGGGCAAGTCACAATCCTTCTGGGACTCAGTTTCCTCATCTGTAAGATAAATGAGTTAGAGTAGGTGAGGTGTTTTAAAACTTTTTTGTGTCATCCACTCATTTGGCAATGTGGTGAATCCATGGACCCCTTCTCAAAAGGTTTTTGGATATGCAAAATAAAATACATATGGATTATGAAGGAAAATAATTATATTGAAATACTGTTATAATGGTTAAGAACCTCTGGACTAGGTGATCTCCAAGATTCCTTCTAGTTCT